TTTCCTCAGCCACATACTTCTACCATGATGTTCTGCCTCATCTCAGGTCCCAAGGAGTAGAGTTGGCCCTTTATAAACTAAGACCTCTGAAATTGTGAGGTCCAAAATAAAACTTTTCTTCCTATAATTGTTTTTGTCAGGTCTTTTATTCACAGCAGCAAAAAACCTGACTAAAACATATAGCTCCAAATTACTATGTCTTTTTAATTTTTTTTTGCAGCTTCAAGTACTGTTTAAATATCCTTTTTTTAATATTTATTTTTTAGTTGTAGTTGGACACAAAACTTTTATTTTATTTATTTATATGTGGTGCTGAGGATCCAACCCAGAGCCTCACATGTGCTAGGCAAGCACTCTACCACTGAGCCACAACCCCAGCCCTGTTTTAATATTTCTTAAAGAAAATTTTACTAGTCACATACTTCTTTTAACTTTTGTGTCTGAGAATGTCATAATTTCTCCTTTAGTCTTAAAGGATAATTTTGCTAAACATAAAGTTCTTGTTTAACAGTTTTATCTTATTTCAGTTTATAGCACTGTAAGTTTGTCATTCCACTACCTATTCTAATGAGTAAACTGCTCAATTCCTTCTGGAAAAAGAAATGGGTCCCACATTGGGAAGGGGAACTGTCATTTTCAAGATTGCCACCAATTTTGAGAACCAATAAGAGCAAAAATAAGTTAAAATGCTGAAAAACCTTCAAATCTGTGTGTTTTTTCTTTTTCCTTGCCTTTTTTGCTTTGATTGGTACATTATTGTACATAATAGTTGGGTTCAGCCTATAAATGTCTTAGCCTGCAAGATGAGTATCATGCAAATAAGCACATAGTTGAATAGTATTTATTTAGGAATGAGTATTGTGAATATCTGCAGCGATAGTAAACTGCATTTTCACAGAGGTTGAGGCAAGGAGAAGCCTTGTCACATGTGTGGTTGTGGGGAAGAACCAGGGCTTTGCAGCAGGCAGTGCTCTACCACTGAGCTACAAGCTTCAGGTTACCATTTTCTCATTTTGAGACAAGGTCTGACCAAGTTGCCCAGACTGGCTTCAAACTTGCCATGCAATCAGACTTCAGAGTAGCTGGGATCACAGGCATGTGCCACCATGCCTATCTCTAAGGGGCGCTTTAAAAGGCAAGGATGAGAATTATTTATGCTATTATGAAACAGCAATCCTTGGCCACAAGGACGATCAGTCAGAGGTGGAACAGGCAATCCATTCTGCCAATCTATGTCTTTTAATTGGATAGTTGAGGCCATTTGTATTCAGTGTTCTTATGGTAGATGAGTGTTATTTTCTTCACTTTTAATTAATTTTCTGTATTTGATTCGATAGATTAATTTTCATTTAGTGAGTTACTTTTCTGATGAGCTTCATCTATTTGGGAACTTTGGGGTTTGTTTTGGATTCCTTTGTGTGCAGTATGTTCTTTTAAGTAGTTTTTGTAGTACTGGCTTAGTGGTCATGAATTCTTTAAGTTTATCCATATCATGGAAAGTTTTTATTTCTTCATCAGTTCTTAAAGATAGCTTTATTCATTATAGCACCTTGGCTGGCAATTGTTTTAGAACTTAGACTATCTCATTCCTGGCCTTCCTTGATTTTAAAGTCTGAGTTGAAGTCAGAAGTGCATCTTACAGGTTTGCCTATACATGTGATTTGATTTTATTCTTTGCAGCTTTTAATAATCTTTCCTTATTTTCTGTTAGGCATTTTGAATATTATGTGCCTTGCAGGGGTTCTGTTCTGATCTTGTCTAATAGAGGTTTCTATATGCCTCCTGTTACATAGGTATGTCTAAATCATTTCAAATATGGGGGAAAGTTTCTACTACTATCTCACTGAAGAAGTTCTTAATGACTGAGTATTCAAGTCCATATACCCTCTCTTCAAGGCCTGAAGTTCTATGAGGTTTGAAGTTCTATTTTTTATGCAATCTAATCTGTTGTTGATGTTTTCAAGGGAATTTTTAATTCATTGTGCCTGTCATTTCCGTAATTTCTGCTTGGTTCCTTTTCAATATGTCTTTCTTTACTAAAATGGTCTTTGCCTCCTGTATTTACTCTCTTAATTCATTCTTTAGGTCTTGTTTTAGTTAGTTGAATATTTTAATAATCAGTGTTTTAATAGTCTTTCTCTGGAATTTTATCCACTTCCATATCCATGGGTTCCTTTGTTAGGGGATTAGAAATTTGGGGAGAGATTTGTTTGCCTGTTTCCTCATGTTTTCAGCTCTTGCACTTACACATTGCACTGGATTCATCTTCCTCTTTTATACATATGTAGTTATCTCCTTTGTTCTAGGAACTTCTCTGTTTTTGCTCTATGAGTAGGTGTTCAGGAGTGGCACCTGAAGTCCCACTGTAGTTGTTCCTACTTGGAGCCTGGTTGTTAAAGTTTGAGATTTTTCTCTCTCTTATTCTGTGTTGAGGCACCCATGGTCACTGTTACTCGGGTGAGTTGTATGTGTTGCTCATCAGCAGGGTCTCTATTCTGTGAGCTTGAAGTGCCTCAATTGCTTCCTAGCTCCTCTTAGAGAAAGGGGAGCAAGGACCAGCAATGTTAATAATATGTGCAGTGTCTACTTTGACATCTCTAACACTAACTACCACCTGTAAATGAATGGTGGGGTCAGCATCTAATGTCAGCACCAAGAAAACAGTCATGAACTAGATCAGACATTAACCAGAAGGTGTCTGCAATGCCATACACTGTACTAAGAATCACAAAAATATGGAGTAGGAATTACATTCACTATATGATTATATTGGATGGTGGAATTATTTCCTTAAGTAAAGAGAAAATATGGAAAGAGAAAGTTAGAAATATTTAAAAAGTGAAGAGATGCAGGAGATAGGTAGCAGATGATAGCTGTAAAGACGGAAGAGTAAAAAATAACCAAAAGTAATCATATAAAGGAGGAGGAAAATTTGGTTGTCAGTGGGGAAAGAGAGTAAAGAAAGATTAATAAGAGGACCAAAAACCAAGGTACAAACAAACAAAAGATCAAAACAAAACAAACCCACATAAAATTTTACCTCACCAAAGTCAAACCAAGACTAAATAATAAATAAGTGAATACGAAAGTAATTAAAATGAAAGAAAAACTATATATTTTTAACCAATCTGTTCAGTGGGAACACACACACATATCCACACAGGCACACACAATCATGCAAAATGAAGAAAATAAAAAGTAAATTAATAAAAATTTAAAAAACAAAATTAAAAATATAAAAAGGAAATGGGGAATAGAAGAAAATTCTTGAGGCAAAAGCAAAACAAAACAGGGGGCTTATTTCCACTGATGTGGTCAAAACTGCTGGCAAGGATGGATGTTCATTGTTTAATCTGATGTGCCATTCTTTTAAATTTATTTTTGAGGACTCTGTAACCCTTGGGTTCAGGACTGAGGGTTATTAAGTCCCATGTCTTTGTATTTCTCCCCAAGCTGCCAGCTGTTATGGCCAGAAGCTAAAGCTGGTTGTAGCAGCACTCAGCTTTTGGTCTCCCAACATAGGATAGGATAGACGCTGAGAGCGGACAATCAGTGTAGTCCCATAGTGGGACTAGTGCAGAGTTCTAAATTGGAGTTTCAGTAGTTCCAGTTTGGTCTTGAGTGATCCTTGGAATTCTGTTGATGGGTATTTGAGATTTGGTCCACACTCCTATTTCTGGGGAGAAACCAATCTTTGCTGGACATCTAGGTTTCAGGGGCCTCCTAAAATTTCTACTTTCGGGGCAAGGAGTCTAATCTTGACAGGCTTCACATATTCCTTGTCCATGGGTGTGAATTACCCAAGATCAGACCTGTAGTCCAGATGCACTGCCTGATGCATTACTGTGTCTTCCAATTGCTCTTATGGGATGGCAAAAAAGGGAGTTCTCACTCCTTGGTATCTCCAACTTGTAAAGCTCTAGATAGTCCTCTTCATACTTGTTTTAATCACATTGGTCCAGATATACTCTGGACTCTACAAGAGACAACTGCTTAGTCAGGTTGGCAACTTCTTTTATGAATACTTAATCTCTAGACTCTGCTTGCTGAAATGCAGCCACTCAAAACTGGCTCATGGCGCCACAATACCGAGTGCAATCAGCAACTCAGCCAATTGATTTTAATAGTTTTTCCCTTAACAACTTTCCCCCACCATCTTTGGGTTAGTTAAGGTCAGCTTCCCCTCAGTTCCAAATTCCCCCAAGTTGATTTTATTTGCCATGTGTTCCTCTCTCTTCCTGTGCTTCCCTATCCCTCTGCAGTGGATAGATTTGCACATCTTTAGCATATTATTTCTTACATTATGTTCAGAGTTTCTGACTTTGTATTTCTGATTATTTGCTGTCCGATGTTGAATTTCAGTGAATTCCCTTAGTAAACCACCATGTGGGGAGCAATCTTCCTGCTGTTTAAATTTTGCGCTGAGGAACTGCTGGGGAGTACACCCTTCCTCTAATCCACAAATCTCAGTTTGTCCTTTTCTTAATTCAGTGTCCACATAAGTGCTATAAATCTTTGACCATTTTCCAGAGTCTTGACAAAATTGGTTCTGATGGTGTTGGGTGTTAATTTTTATTTTGTTCTGTTTCTACAAAGGGACAGAAGTTTGGAGCTGCCTACTCACCATTTTGCTGCTGTCACTCCACCAGCTGCATCATGTGGAATAAGTCACACACTTTCTGTAATTATTTCCTCCTTAGGAAAATAGCACTTAGTCAAAGTAACACTAGTACAAAATTGTCATAGGGTTGTTATAAAAATAAAATGAGAATGTCTAAGACTTATACAAAATATAATTCATACACAAAGTTATTTTAGGTAATATTTTGTAAGCCACATCACAGTTACATCACTTTTACGATGCTAGAGGATTTTTTAAAATGGTGGGCAAAAATGTTTAATTTTACATACTCATTTTTCTTGAGTTTCATTTTCACCTAAAATATACTTACCTTTTACCAGCCTGAGTAGTCCTCTAGCATTAGTAAGAGAAAAATGACTAGTGTTATTTCAACATTTTATTGAACTTTTCATATTACACAATTTGCTACCAAAAACATTTAAAATGCCAATCAGACAAAAACAAATTAAAAAGAAAAGACACAGACAAAACACCTCTTTCTAGATGAGGTAATAATGCATAAGGTTCATTGTCAAATTACAAGTTTTTATTACACTGCTACACAACTTATTAGTATATCAGTGATACTCAAAGGCTCCAAAAAAAAAGACATTACACATTTCATTTAATTTATAATGGGTGAAAGGAGAGAGAGCGAGATTATGTACAACTACTTGAAAGAGAAAGCAGAAATGCCAACATTAAACATTTTTCCAATTCTAGTGCAAGGGATTTTATTTGCTTAGATAAGTTTTGAAAATAAATTCAAACTTGGATAACTTTTCGATACCCGGAAGTCTTTTAGTTCCATAAGATGGATAAGAACACTGAGGAAAAACATCCTCCACAATCTCGGTTGACAAATCAATTTATCAAATCAGCATCTTCTTTATTTTCTGAACAGATATATAATTGGATAGAAATATTTAAATATTTATGCTCAATTAATAAAGTGAATACTTTGTACAGTTACAACTAAGCCAGAGCTGAAACCAGTTATTAACAGTCAGGCACATCTGCACAAGTGAGCAGGATCTCTTACCCTTCCAGTTTTGTTTCTAAAAGCACTGACTAAAGTATCTAATAGTCCATTCATAACCCTTTGCAAATTAGCTTGCTTTTACTATTTTATATCAGTGCTAAAGTATGGAAGCTTGACTAAAACTTCATTAATTTAGGATTTTTTTAAGGGCCTATAAAATTGAGGTTAAGAAGGTCTATATATACAACTTAGCAAATAAATTCATAAATTCACAAAACGGATTAATCTTTACCAGTTTTTAATTTTACCACTTTCAGTCTATTTTACTCAAATTAAGAAACCCTGCAATGTAAGGGAAGCATATCATATCACAAGCTCCATGGTCAAAATCTGGCTTATAATAAGAGGACCAGTGGGCTTGCAGAACTACCTAATAGAATCCTATCCATGATGCTACTGGTAATATTGAATTTAATAACATAATTTGAACTATTAAGAAATGTATGCTATGGAGATTAGATTTTTGCACCCATATTTAAAATAGCAAATTTTAAAAGGGGCAGAGTTTATCTGACAGTTCTTTTATAAATTCACTGAAAAACACTTGACCAGTTAAATGCTTATTTCCACCCCGCCCCCCACACTCCCCATAGTATTGGGGATTGAACCCAGGAATGCTCTACCACTAAACTACATCCCTAGTCCCTTCTACTTTTCATTTTAAGACAAGGTCTCATTGTTTCCCAGGCTGTCCTCAAATCTGTAAGCCTCCTGAGTAACTGGGATTATAGATGTGTACATACCACTATGCCTGTCAGACTGTTTGGTTTTTAAAGATTATATTTCAACTAATTTGGAAAAGACAGTAAAAAATAATTAATATTTTATTTAACACTACTCCATTTTAGTTTTCATGTTAATTTGCATTCTTTCTTCAAACAGAAAAAAGAAATGTGTGCAGTTTGGTCATCAGCCATGACTCAATAATGAAATAAATATATAACTGCATAATCATGCAAACAAAATCAATATATATAACTGCATAATCATGCTAACATTCAATAAATCTTGAAATACCTGATTTTTAGCTAGGTGAAGGATTCTACAGACTTTCACTAGTAGTAATACTTGATTCCCATTATATTCTGTCCTAGAAAATTTCTGAAAATTGAAATTTTCTGATTTATCTTCTTTGAAACCACTTCATTTTAATAAAATGAGAGGTTCAGGAAGCTGAATATATTATAAATATATAAAACATTATTTAGCATTTCAAAAACAATAAAAAAAATTTAAACCCCACGGGTTGGATAAAGTAAGCCACAAACTAAAAGATTAACCATAAAATAGAAAATGTGACCAATGGGGTTTACTTTCCCTCTCAGTGGAATTTAAAAATGGAAAACTTGATGTTATTCAGTAAACATATACACACTAGTAAAGAGTCGCTACTTATACACTGTTTCACATACCTGGGTATCCTTTTTGTGTGTTCCAAAATTATTCATAACCATCTCTGTGACATTTTAAAAATAACATGAATCTGTTTGTATGCAATCTAGGTTGGACAACATCCAAAGTCACTGCACTTTAGAGTGCTTCATGGTTCATAGAAAAAAGGTGACCATTCTTGTTTAGAAATGAAACTTTAAGATGCTTAATAGTAGATTAGTCAAATGCATATTATTTGATACTACAGAGTGTAATTCACCAAATTAAATTTAGAAAGACTTTTAAAAATTAAACTGATTAACAATTTTTTTCTGTTACTTATTTGTTGAAATGTAAAATAAAACACAAGGACAAATTTCCTTTAAGGTTTGTATATTTTTCTTCAGTATTCATCCAAACAAGTTTAAATAAAAAGGGATAAGCATATCTTACATTTTTCTTTAAATGTATTGTTTGGAGAATGAAACTTTTTTAAAACTGAAAGATAAAAATTGATGTAATTAATTAATGATGACTATATAGTAGGCAAGAGGCACAAATTCCCAGGTAAATTTTAATTTTGCTTAAGATAAGTCATTCAGAAATGAAAGTTATGAGGTTCCTTTTGAGTACACAATTTGTAAATATGGAAGGAATAATAGTTGTCATGATTATTTCTTAAAAGTTGCCCTAAAAATAGCCTGACAATTCACAAAACTAGCCAAGCAAACGAAACTTTATAAACATATGATGAATTTTAAGTTGCTGGCACTGAAACACTGGGTTTGGATGCGGACAAGTGTGCTATGTTTGATTAAAATCTTCTGGGTACCTTGACTTTGATGTTTTACTGATATTAAAGCAGAAAGTGTATTTTATGCAATAAGCTGATGTATGAGTAGAAAATTTTGTAGGGTTGAAGGAAATTCCAAGTTCTATATGTGTACAGAAATGGCCTTATATATTATATACAGCCACTAAAATAGTTACATAGGGAAAATATGATTTAAAACCCTTTAACTCCTGCTTACAGATTGCCAAATCTAATCTTTAGTCTTATTCAATGATGACATAATTTATTTGTTTAAAGGTACAACCTTCTGATATTATACACTGTATTAGGACAATATATCAATATCAATCTAGAAGGAAAAATAAACCTGTAACAAATATTAAGGTCAGATAGGATAGATCCGACTCAATAAAATTTCACTTTACATATTTGAAGATAAATTTTTGCTTTTGCCCAGTATCATTTTTGCTTCAGCATGAGTGTTAAACCAGCTAAAATTTCACTCTTACAAGTGTCATTTTTATTAAGTTTTCAAGTTTCAATAGTTTTGATCCAAAATATATACCTATGCCTTAAAACAAAACAAAACAAACAAATAAAAAACACAAAAGTGTCAATATAATCAGCATGGGCTTTTTCTACCAGCTTCATTTTCCAGTCCATTTTCCCCCCAGTATTTCACTTTTATCCCTCATAATTTCATAGCAAATTATCCAGATTGGGTCTTTTATACTAACCAGTGATAGAACCTAAATCTCAAATGCTATTTTGAAGAAGTGTTGAGTAAATAATTTTGGTAATCTGTAAGACAGCTGCATGCAGTGTGTACTGTATTATAACAGCACCAAACCCTTTATAAAAGCCAAGCATTCCTTCCTCCTGCTTTATGGTATTGATACAGTCTCTCATTCCCTCATACTGTGTATTTATTGGAAGTACTTCGTAGCCAAGGTCTGTATTGTCAATTATCGTGCGTGTTCCTTGAATGTGAAGGCGGTGTAAAACTGTTTCCAATGGGTAAAGTATAATGTCAGAGCAAAGACTGGCAGCAAAATTAGCAATAAGTTCTGGAAAATAAGCATCCAACATACTCTGCACAGGGCTAGTGCTCTCAGCTAAGTGGTTATTGTAAGTCTTTCTCTTTAGAATTAGCAGGACAAACTTCTGAATGATCGAGCTGATGATGTAATGAAGAACTCCATGCAGCACCGTAGGGAAGACCAGGGAAAGAAGTGGAAGGAGTCGTTTACTATGAGGCACTCCCAAACCTATCACTCTTCCAATTCCTTCTTTTACACATTCCAAAATCCCAGTATTATCTCGAATTATCTCACTCTGAAATAAAAATGATGAAATAAGTTAAAACTTAACATTTGCTTATTTTCCTACAAAAAAGGGATGCTTCCTAGGTTCCTTTTAAATTAATATACTGACTAAAAAAGGAAGGAATCAATGGTCTGCAGACTTTAAATGTTATCTGGGCATTAGATTCTATTTTCAAATGAAATCTCAGAGCAATGAAGTTGGGAACTATTCACTGGGGAAGGGAGATTGGGGGAGATAGATGTACACATCTGGTTGCTTCAATCTCAAGAGGCTCCTCAGCACTCACTCAGAAGCAACAACTACTACTTATCTGCTTATGGAGGCAATATAGGGCTCAGGAGTCCTTAAACATGGGATTAAATCCTACCTTCATTACTTACTGGTTATAAGCATTGTCCAGATACTTAACTACTCCTAGGTGTTAGTTTACCAAAGTACAAATCAGTACTACCTACCTTTTATGCACAGAGTTGTCATAAATGAAAGACCTGGTACCAAGTAAGCACTCAATAAATATTAGTCTTAACTAAAATTTGGGAAATAAGATAAGCTTGTGATATAAATTATAGAGTTATAAAGAAGCAGAAAAGAAACAGCTAAAAGAATAACTTGTTTGCAGCAATGACTATAGAACTGTACAAGATGAAAGTTAAAAGGCAGACAAGGGCTATATAATGCTTTATAGACTACTAAATAGATTTGAGCTTCTAGGTAGATGGGAGATAACTGCTTAGTTTTAAGCAGAAGATAAATATAATTTAGGTTTTAAAATAATACTGTCAAAGGAAGACCAGTTTAAAAGTTATTATAACCATCCAGAAAAGAAATAAGGGTGGATTGGATTAGGAGGTAACAATGGAAGTAGGGCAGTTCAATTGGGGTTTTAAAATTATATGCAACAGGGGCTGGGATTGTGGCTCAGCGGCAGAGCACTGGCCTTGCATGTATGAGATATTGGGTTTGATCCTCATCACCATATGAAAATAAATAAAATAAAGGTATTGTGTCCATCTACAACTAAACAAAAAGGTTTTTTTTTTTTTTTTAACTACAGGCAACAGGAAATATTGGTTGTATTTGGTATATGAAAGATAAGAGTCAAAGATTACCAAGGCTCTTGGCCAGAGGTACTGGAGGAATAGCATTATCTTTTACTGAACTGAACTGAGAAATGCTGCTGGTAGAAACTTGGAGGAGGAAAACAAGAATTCAGAAATGTTATGCATCAAACTGGAAAAAGGTTTACCAGAAAAAGGTCCAAGTTGAACATACAGATGTGGGAGTCCTTGGTAAATAGATGATATTTAAATCCATGAGAATAAAATTAGCTCACCTAATCTACTAGTCTATTGTTTTCCCATTCCTAACCTTGGCTCCCTTCACACTCGAGTATATATTTTTTAAAATATATTTTTAGATGTTGAAGAAACTTTATTTTATTTATATGCAGTGCTGAAAATCAACCCAGTGTCTAGCACTTGCTAGGCAAGTGCTCTACCATTGAGCCACAACCGCAGGCCTTATCAGCAAAAGAGATCCTAATAAAGACTTGTTGGATCACATCACTGTTCTGCTCAAACCTACCATTTCTCTTTAAGTAATGCCAAATTATTACAATGAACTACAATGTCCTGTATGATCATATCCCTCTAAGCACTCAAGACATAATTCCTGCTCTCCCTGCTTGTTTAGATAGCAGCAATCATACTGGCCTCCTTTCTATTCCTCAAATGCATTCAAGTCCACTTGAATGTCTTTGCACTTGCTTTTCCTCTGTTCAGAATGTTTTGCAAAACATCTATGTTTTTCTCAGCCTTAGACATTTACTCAGATTTAATCTTCTCAGTGACACATTCACTGACCTTAGAAACTATTAAAAGTCAACCTACCCAGTACACATTCTATCTGCTAACCTTGCTTTTTTGCTTTAACACTTAGCCCCATCCACTATACTTTATATGCATATTATTTATGTCTGTCTTCCCAACAAGCATATAAGTGCTATAAGAGCAGATTATTTATGTCTTGTTTTATTTGCTATTGTCTCCTAGAGTCTACTATAGTATCTGATAGGGGCTGGCACTCAATAAATATTGGATGAAATTTTTTTTTAATATTTATTTTTTAGTTTTCGGCGGACACAACATCTTTATTTGTATGTAGTGCTGAGGATAGAACCTGGGCTGCACGCATGCCAGGCGAGCACGCTACTGCTGAGCCACAACCCCAGTCCCTTGGATGAATTTTTTTAAAAAAGTTTAGCACTTAAGACGAAAAGGTAAAGTCAATAAAAATCTTAATTTAACACTATGCTGAGAAGTCTGAAATTGATCTTGGTGAGTTGAGTCAATATAGATCCTTAATTAGCAGAAGGATATAAGTATTGCAATTTTAAAACACTAATCTTGCATATGAACATAAAAGGACTTTTAAAATGCAGAGAACTAGAATAAGAATTCTTAATGAAGATATGGATAACAACTGCTTTCAGTAGGTTCTCTTCAGGAGACTTATGCATTTTTCAAGGAAAACAATGTTCCCAAAGGCAAAGAACCATTAAGTTTTAAGTTGGAAGAAAGAATGTACTGTAATAAGTTAGATATGTAGTAAATGAGAGATGACAATGATGGTATATTGTGGGAAGAAAAGGGCAAATCTTAGCTACTTGTTGATATCTTAAAGTAGAAAGGCATGATGACTGATTACTTATGCAGGATGAAAGAAACATAAACAAAAATGTTTCCCTAAAACTCAAGTTTTGAGTTAGGGTGAAATTACAAAGTCCCATTGATAGAAAGGGAGAAGAGTTGAATGATAAGATTGTATTTATGAGTTGATTTTGAGATGCAGGTTAAAGTTAAAATGATTCACATGAATGAACAAGCTCTCTTAGGATAATCAGTGTAGGGTAAAAAAACAAAAAAGCATCAAAGACAACTTGAAATAAGACTACAGAAACAATAGAAGATACTAAAAAAATGATTCTAGAAAAGCAAATAAAAGGAGTCAAAAGGGGAGCAACAAGTGGACATGGAGAAGAAAACACAAGGGGTAAAGGAGGATATGGGGTTAAAAACACAAGAAAAACTATCATATTGTGAGCTGGCCATTTAATTTTTAAAATTCAGTTATTAAAATATGATTCCCACTTTAATGGATGAGAAGATTATTAAGATTTAAAAAGGTCAAAAAATTTTCTAAAGTCACAGACCTAATTTAAGTAGAATAGCGTAATTCTAACATGAGTCTGTTCCAAGTTAAAACTTGTTTTCCCAAAATATATTTTATTGCTTAGTTGTTTTACTGAAATAATTAACTTCCGGCTATTGTGAGGATATCTTTATAAACTCTACAGATTTTCTCATTTATCTGAAAGGTATTTATTCAATACAATGCCAAATGCAAGAGGAAATGGAAATATGCTTGGGTTACAAGGTATTAATTTCAGTTAGGTGAAGTTAGTTTTAACAAAAGCAAACATCAAACATTAACTACTGTGTCAGAAAAGAAACCAAGAGGAAAAGAATAATTAGAAGAGGAAAGGCTTATCCAGTAGGAGTTTTATAGAGAGGAGGCATTCATACATACTGAGGGAAAAAATATACTAGAGGGCTAAATGTTGGAAATAGAAGACAAGTGTTGAAAGAGTTGTATTTTATGTAAAAGTGATGTTAAGACTAACTTCATCTTACTTAGTAGGGAAGGCATAGTGAGAAAGTGTATGACATTTAATTCAATGAACTCTAAGCGCCACCATGTGGTTGGAAATAGTAGAACAAGCAAGGAGAACAAAATGTTAGAAAATTACTTAAGCTTTGTAGTACCTATCACACCAACAGTATTAAATGTTTCTTAAAAACCATATTTAAAAAGAAATGCTATTAGTAAACTACTTATGGAGACCACCTTATCACTGTTAAGGTTATTGTTCATTATTCTTATGCTCAGATAACATGCTGCCTTTTGATAAACTGTAACTATCTTGAGTTGTACATAGGGCTTAAAATTTACAGAATTTTTGTATTCAGAGCAAATTATAGGTTGAGTTTTTAAATGTATGAATAATGATCATAGCTAGCTGCCTATGGAAGGAAGAAAAATAATTAAAACTAGAAGCAGACCTAAGTTTGTAATGGAAATACACTTAGCAGGATTATGTGATACATGTGTGGTATCTGTGAATAAATAATTTTTAAAGGATACCATCTTAATTGTTTTTGCTAAACAATCATACACAATATATTTAGTATTCCCAAAATATTTAATAAAAATGACAATGAGAATAGCTCACCTGTACAGTTTCAATTAAACTTGCTGAATAAAAAGGCATTGCCACCATATAAGTTAGGCTGTAGAAATTAAAACAAATTAATCAGCATACTGAAACAAGACATTTATATTAAAATTTTAAGTAACTACTTTAACATACCAGCTAATTTATATTTAAAGTTTTCAACTATTAATTCTTTTAGCCTAAAAATATTAATTTCAGAAACCTGTTACAGGATGCTTTATTCAACAGAAATGAAAAAAAGGTATCAATAACAACAAGGACAGCCTGCAAAGAAAACATTTTATTTTAAACCAATAAAATATAGGTTCATTTATGATTTAGTTTTTGGATCTTATAAATCTGATATTTAAAATTTAGGATGAGGGTTCCATTCCATGGCTTGCCTTTTCAGTGACAGTAAACAGTATACTTTTTTGTTATTATCCTATTATCATTATCTATCCCCAGATTTCCCATTCAGCAGAGCTAAGCTAGCCTTTGATAGTGAGTGAAGTCCCCTTTTAGTATTAAAAAGCAATATTGTACAGCTTTGCAAAGTTGTTACCTTTCACCAGTATTTAATCTTAAATATTATTACAACTTTGCAAGCCTGCAAAATATAGTTATCTAAAATCATATCAAAGTGGGACTTACCTAACCCTTATGGGCCAGGTCCTGGTAAGTAGTGGTTTTCAAGGTGAATGGAACAGCACTAAGTAATAATGTGCTGGAATGTCCCATAGAGGGAGCCAGCAAGCTGGGGAATTTCCAATTCACAATCTTCAAAAAAAATTAAAAAGTGAAGAGTAAAATTCTAATCTACAAAAATGATTACTGCTGTAAAATTACCAAGTGCCTTTAGGACTACATTTCAATGTCACTAAAAATTTTGAGTTTGCTCATCATCATCACTATACAGATCAATTTTTATCTTCTGCTTAACAATAAAATACAGGTTGAATACCCCTTGTCAGAAGTGCTTAAGATCAGAAATGTTTCAGATTTTGAATATTTTTCAGATTTTTGTGTATTTGCATATACATAAGAAATATCTCAAAGATGGGACCCACGTCTAAACACAAAATTAATTTATGTTTTATATACACCTTATAACCATATATGATTTTTTTTTTTTTTTTTAGTGTGCCTGCATTTTGACTGTGAGCTGTCACATGAGATCAGGTGTAGAATAATTCATGACATTTGGGGTGTCATACTGGTGCTCAAAAATTTCAGATAATGAAGCATTTCAGACTTCAGATATTTTAATTAGGGATGCTCAACCTGTAATATTTTTCTTACAAATTTGGGTTAAACAAATTAAAGATCTTTGCTAACTTCCTAGGAACAAGAGAAAAATTAGGCTGTGATTCTAGCCTGGCAAATTAGTAAATACTATTTTATTAAAGATCACATGTACGTCAAGATTTTATTCCTAAACTCTATATTACTTGTTCTTTGATGATCTACTCCCATAAAGATTTCAATTCTCCAATTTCCTTTGCTACATTTATTAAAAATATCTTTCAGCTCTAACACTATAAACATTAATGGAAATTTTCAAGAAAAATTCCATTTTCAATACTTACGATTTCAGTAGAAGGTGTTCACCTATTTGTTTGGGATTCCATTTATGTGAAATCTCCCTAAAAAGTAAAAATAAATTTAAATAAAACAAAAGCCATGTTTTTACAATATTTGATTTAGCCTAATTTTCAAAAGGCAATTAATTTCTATTTTTTTTAATCTGTAAAAGAAATATATCCTAATAAGATTTTTCCTTCTGAAAAAGACTTAAAATAATTGTGGTGGTTCAAAAAGAGAAAACATGCAAAGCGTTTTTGATGTGCTGACAGAGGAGAAAAGGTATAACTGGCTACCAAAATGAACATATTGAGAAACTAAAGAAAAAATAAAAATGATAGGTTTTATAAAAGACGGTATATAACAAATGGGAAGGGAAACAAGGAACGGAAAAAGGAAGGAAATAAATTTTAAAAAGAAATAAAAGTAACTAATACAGGATGACACATGACATTCTGCACAGCACCTAATTTCTATTATTACAATGACATTAGTTTTGTGACTATTACTAGGTTCCACTATCTTTTTGCACACCTACTATGTTAGGTGCTACACAAAGTGCTCTGCATGAATCCTTTCTAATCCTCACTATTATCTCCATTGACTATATGAGGAAACAGAATCAGAGAGGGTTTATAACTTAGCAACTGGTTAGTATGGAACTAGCTTCTAAACCCTAGTCTCTATGACATGATAAGTCTGTACTGTCTGTATCAACTTCCTTTCATCTCACTTCACATAGGAGAAATCCAGTGAGGTAAGCAGACACATATGGTTCTATCTATTTTACTGATTAGAAAAATTAAAGACACGATCACAAGAGATTGGTCATATGTCAGATCTGGAACCGATACCTAGGACTATGGTGCTTCCTGCTATTCTGGATACCTTTGGAAACCAAAGGGGAGTAGGGAGAAAGAAAAGAAAGCTAAATTAGAATAGAACAGAAGGGGAAAATGGGTGAAAGTTCTATTAAAAGAAAGGTAAAAAAGGAGAGAAATCACAGAGAATAAGTGAGAAGGTAAATAAGATAACAGAAAAATAGAAAATTCAGATAGAGAAGATACAAAAGGGAAGAACAGAAAAATAGGTGAGGGGGAGAATAAATGATAGAAAGAAGTATATAGATGAGACTTGCTGCTACAAGGAACTGGTATCATTCTACCATGACCATCAAGAATCTAGAAAAATGCCTTCTATTTGAAGTGGATAAATAGAAAAAATTTATGGAGGGAAAGGAATAAACATATTAAAAAGACAAAGAGGGCTGGGGATGTGGCTCAAGCAGTAGCACGCTCGCCTGGCATGCGTGTGGCCTGGGGTTCGATCCTCAGTACCACATACAAACAAAGATGTTGTGTCTACTGAGAACTAAAAAATAAATATTAAAAAATTCTCTCTCTCTCTCTCTCCCACTCTCTCTTAAAAAAAAAAAGACAAAGAAAGTTAAAAAGATAAGTGCTAACCTAAATTAAAAAGGTAAGCACTTACTAAAAAGGTAAGTGCTCTAAAAACAAACAGTACAATTACAGCATGAGTAGTACCACACTTTTCCACAATTTTCTGAGATTAGAATGTCTGCAGAGACTTTTAGACAACAAGATAACCAACACTAATTTCTAAAACCTCAGAGAAACCTCTGGGTCAAACACTGATCAAATAATAATACTGCGATACTTATTTGCCCTGAAAAACATAGGAAACATAGCTAAAAGAATATTCAATGATTTAGTTACAAAATATAAAACCTGGATTAGGCCTCCCAAATTACTGACAATTACTTTATTACTACAAAACAAAATATGCTCCTTGCTCTATAAACCATCTTGATGTTGTTATTACTGTTATGGACTCAAAGTATTACCACAGGTTATTTATTATAATGTTGATTTTAGGTATGAAACTCATAAACACCGTGTACAGATAGATCTGTGACTTTGTCTCTGTAAAGACTGGACTATTTCTTTTAAATACAATGTAATTATTACTGTTCTTAAGATTATTAAAGTAAATGAGAGGAACAGGATATTTAGGACCCAATATTAAAAGGAAAAAAAAAACTGAGACTCTTCCTTATATGTTTCCTATTAGTTTATAAAATGGATAAAACTTATTGATCTAGAAATTTAAATTAGCATATTTAAGTGTTTTAGGCAAAAGAGTAAACAAAAACTTTACGACCACATTACAGAGAAAAACAGATCTCTAGTACATACAAAGTCACTAAGCTTGTAGTTCCTCAGTAGCATTACTTTTTAAAGACAATCATCTAGGATCATCAATGATCTCTTTATCTACTACCAGACCCTTCTCAATCCTCAGGGAACCTTCCCCTAGTTGGAATGAGAAGTTAGACTATGTGTTGTTCTATCCTAAAGGATCATTCATTTTATTTACATTAAGCCTTTTTAATTTCATTATTACATCAAATTAAAATTTATTAGACTAGTTACTTTATCTCTCTCTTTTAAATGGGCATCAAATTAAAATTTATTAGACTAGTTACTTTATCTCTCTCTCTCTATATATATATGTATTGAGTACACATAGGAATGTATATGTGTGTGTGTGTGTGTGTGTGTGTACTCAATACATAAAAGAGAATTCTAAAATAACTAGAATCTAGAATCTTAGTAGACTTTAATTTTTATATGGCTAAATACCTGTTCTCTTCAAAAGAAAAAGTGTTTCTTCAACCCAATCCAAGCCCCTTGTCTTCCAATTATCTCTTTTCATCTCTTCACTTTCTAAATTTGTTACTTCCTTGTCCTACCTAACTTCACACTCACCTTTAAAAACCACTCCAAATTAATTTCTACCCTAATATTTTACAAAAGCAGTTCTTGTCAAGGTTCAATAACCTTCGAGGCACTAAATCTAATGATTGTTTTCAAGTCTGTACCTTAATCTGACAAGTGATGAGGTAAACATGTTCCTCTGTTATCCTTAAAGCACTCTTTGCCTGTCATCATTTGGTTTCTATCCCTTTTTCTCTTTAAAGGATATCTTTCTTAACACAGCCACCTATTACTGGAGTTCCTAAAGGGTTATGCCCTCTGTTTTTCTCACTCCATTTGTTGTACTAGGCACCCTCCCCAAGATTATAGCTTCAAAGGCTACCAAATTTATTTACCTTCAGTTACAACTTCACTACTGTATGCCAGCCTTATTAACACTGCCTACTGAAAATTCTACCTGGACCTAAAAATGAACTGAACTTGAGCAAAATTGTATTTATATTTTTCTTTCAGATTTATACTCTTAGTGTTCCTACGTGAGAACCATTAATCAGAAAGGAATCAACTGAATTTAAGGAAGATTTCATATTTAAAAAGTGAATTCGGAGGAATTATTGGGAGTAAGCTGCAAGATGTTTATGTTTGCAACCACAAATGTGAGATGAATCAAAGTTAATTTGGAGTTTGACTTGTGATTTGTGAGAAACTGACCTATACATGTAAACCTGGTTACAGTATCTTACCACCTTATGTTAATTATAAGAGAAAAACATATGTAAATAAAATGAATGATCCTTTAGAACAGAACAACATATAGTCTAACTACTCATTCCAACTAGGGGAGGTTCCAAGAGGATTGAGAGGGGTCTGGTAGTAGATAAAGAGATCACTGATGATCCTAGGTCAATTGTCTTAAAAAAAAAGTAATGCTACCGAGGAACTATAAACTTGGTGACTTTGTATGTACTAGAGATCTGTTTTCTCTGTGATGTGACCATAAACAGTATTTAAAGAAAAAGAGACCCTAAAAACTAGTGAATTCCTACTGTCACATCTGTTCTAATAACCATATATATTTAAGAAACCTTAGTCTAGGAGACTCATAGCTCATCCTTCTCATGTGGTAACTTCTGTTAATTGCTCTAAGTTATTTGCTTTGCTGACTGTTTTTGTCACAACCCTGCTTTTCCCCAGGAAAGATCAAGCCTGTAAGGAGGAAGAGGAGAAATAAAAAATGTTTACACACTTCAGAAAATAGTTTCTCTCATGACATCCAGTTGGTTATACAAACCAAAATTCTAGAAGATATCCTTAATATTGCCTTTTCTTTCATCAACCATTCTTCAACCATCAACAAGGTCCATCAATTTTACCTGAGTATCTTTCAAAACTGTCCACTTAATGTCCATCTCAAAAAATACCAACCTGGTCCTAGATAATATAATTCGTCACCCTGATTACTGTTATAGCATACTAAAATGTCTCTTTTTATTCACTTTGGTCCTTCTACAATCTTATAGTCTACAGCTCTGATGATTCTTTGAAAACATAAATCTGAAGTCACTGACCTTACTCTTTAGTAGTTTTATTTATTTATGTATTTATTTATTTATTTAAAAAACATTTATTTTTTAGTTGTAGTTGGACACAATACCTTTACTTATTTATTTTTATGTGGTGCTGAGGATCAAACCTAGGGCCTCTCACGTGCTAGGCAAGCACTCTTCTACTACTGAGCCAAAACCCCAGCCCAACTCTTCAGTATTCTTAAAGTCACTTACAAAGCCATGCATGTTCTGCTCCCACCTACTTCTGCAGTGTTCTCTCACACCACTCTCTACCTTGCCCTTTGGCCTCCAGCCACATGAATCTTCTCTCAATTACCAGAATTCTCCATGCTTCTCACTGCCACAGCATTTTTAGACAAACTGGTCTGTCTCTCCTACACACATTCAGAGTTCTTCACAAGTGTAAAGCTGTTTCTAACCTATTCTCACAGACCCACACCCTCTTTCTTCCAGAGAACAAATTTCAATTTATAATAATGTATTTGATTAGTGTGACTATTTTACTTAATACATGTTCTTGTACTGGATACTGAGTTCAGTAAAAGGTACCTTTGGTTTCTTTTCCTCATTGTCAATCTGATTTCTAGAACAGAACTTGGCACACAGTAGGCACTAAGAATTATTAGGTAAATAAATAAATGAATTAATAGTGGAATTTTCAACAAAAGTTCTAGGTAGAACAATACATGAAAGGTAACTTTTCATGTCTTCTTTATTAAGATTCAAAATGATGAAAATACATTCTCATACAACTGACAGGTCTATATATTTACTGACTAGGAAAAATGAGAAAATTTTATAAAATTCTATGCTTCCCCATTTCCATTTCTCTTTTTCCTTCCCTTTAACCTGAAGTCAGTGTGACTTTTCACCTCAGCTTTAGAGAAGCAGCATTACTTGCCTAAGGTCTTAGAAGTAAAATGTGAGGCTGCCAGTACCTAAACCAATAGCTCTCTGACTGCAAGGGCTGATTTTCCTACTTTAGTAAGTTGAACTTCCTGTGTTTCATTAAATTTTTATAGAATTTTGTGTCTATGAGAGAACCTCAAGAATATTTGCCTACAAGAACTTACTTCTGAACTCATCTTGTGATATAAAAAGCAATTAAGGTGAACATGGTTAGTCAAGAGCAGACACTCAGTCTTTTAAGTATGAGACAAGAAAATCTTTCTAACCTTTTTAATCTTTGTTTTGTCCCTAACCTTTTAGCAAAGCTGTATTAAAGAACTTCAAGATTATGATGTTCATTGAAAGTACTCACACTGGGAAAAAGCCTGATATCAGTTTCTATCATTTCCTTTCCTACAAAGATTAAATCCAAAGTCTGTGATATACTAGTGGCTATGCATTAAATTGCCTTACATGCTTGACAATCCAAAAAATTTAACCTAAGGGCTAACTTTGGATTAATGAGCCTTTTGAAACCTTTAATGCCAAGGACGGACTGATGTAGCATTAGAGGTGTTCTGTATGAGTATGCACCTAACAAATTTATGATTTCAAACATCATCTGTTGACATTCCTTTCATATATTCTTCATAAGATTTCCTGGTTACCCATTACTGAGAGTGTTCAACTGTACATGACTACTCTCATGCCTTTTTTTAACCATGACTCCAATGCTTATCTTTCTTTCACCAATAATCTCGGAACTGGTTTCATAAAGAGACCCTGCACATGTCCCTAATTTCTTTAATCTTCTATTATCTCTCATCACATACAACCACACACATGAGCATAATACACATATACACACACATAAATTGCTTGAGATTCTGTCTTTGGTCTACTTAATGTCATTTAGTCTACAATTTAGGTGACTTACACCCTAATTCACCTCAGGTAAACCACACCCATTCTAATGTTCAAATGCTATTTTTATGCCACACACTTGAAGTTATGTCATCACTTCAAATTTTCTGTACAATTTGCATCCACAGGCAATCACCTATTAGATATGTTCCCCAGATGTTTTGAAAGAATCTCAAACTTTGTTTATTCAAAATTAAATTTCATATCTACTTTTCCACTCCAGTTTATTCTTCTTAATGAATTTCCCATCTTAGTTAACACTGCCAATATAGACATCTCAATCACTGCTGATGATTTACTCTCTCATACCTCCATTCTCAATCTAACATTAATTATCATCAATTAAACTTCAGAAATGTCCATTTAATTTATTGCTTTCTGTTTTGTTCCACAGTTCAGAACCACCTCAGTCTGGCACAAGTCTCTCTGTATTAGTCATTTTTTATTCTATCACTTGAAAACAGCTTTTATTATAACACATATATTAAAAAATAAATTCTTAAGATTCCCAATCACATAGAGAATAAAATATTACAAGGATATTACAGTTTCCTTTCTTAATATTCCTCCGCAAACACACCCAATACTCCAAGCACAGGTCATTTTTCTACTGCCCAGCTATCTAACCTCTATAGCTCTGGGCATGTGGTCACCTTTTCTTGGAATTACCTCCTTTTCTACCAAGTCAATTCTTATTCAAAATTCAAGATCTAAATAAGATTCCAGTTATTTTTTTGAAATCCTTGCCAGTAATTCCAAGTAAAATATCCCTTAGTCTCTGAAAGGGGTTTAATTATAGCATGAATCACACAATGTACTCCAATCCAACTAAACTTGCTATTTCGAGAATGGGAATTGCTTTCATATTCATATTGTCCCTTAGTTGGCAGTTAGTTGCTGATACACAGCAGAAAGAGCTGGAAGAGATGGGCATGGTGGTGCACACCTGTAAACCAGTGGCTATGGAGGTTGAGGCAGGAGGATATCGAGTTCAAAGCCAGCCTCAGCAATGGCGAGGTACTAAGTAACTCAGTGAGACCCTGTCTCTAAGTAAAATACAAAACAGGGCTGGAGGTGTGGTTTAGTGGGCATATGCTTCTGAATTCAATCCCTAGTACCCACTCCCACCCCCCAAAAAAGAAAGAGCTGGGAGATATATCTTAAGAGATATTAAAACAAGAACTTATTTTTATGACAAACTAATGAAAAAAGATACGATTAATAATACAATTTTATTGTCTGATTCTCAGTTACTTCACATAAGTTTTCAGCTCAAAGTACTTTCAGAAGTTTTATACTTAATTAAAATTTAATATGAAACAAATATTGAGAAAATGCCAGAAAAAAGGTACCTTGGCAAAGGTGTAAATTCACTAATTATGCCTTCTGCTCCAAGTGTGACTCCCTGTACAATAAACGTACTTCCCATTCCTTTCCACAGGGCTCTTGGTCCCTAAAATGAACAAAATTTATTGTTATTTCTGTTAATGCTTAAATACGAAACACAAAAGGTCTTTAACAAACTTGATACTAAACTTTTACTGATATTTTCTAGATAGGTATTATTCTACTAGAAATATTAGAGAACTATAACTAATTTAATTTCCATCATTCAAACATAATTTCAAACATTATTTTAATGTTTACATGGTCTATGTTTAGGCCAAGATGAACACTCCAATTAATTAAATACTCAATTATGATCAATTAATTGATTACATATCTCTAATATCCATATATTCAAGTCCCTACTAGTCCTACCAATTGGATGACTCATAGGTAACTCAAAATATATAAAACTACAAACTGGATTGTATCCATTCATACCACACTTTCTGTGCTGTATTTCTCCTCTCCCTTCGATGGTAGCTTCATCATCCTAGTGTTCAATAATTATCCAGATAACACTCTTCTCACTATTTTATCTAATAAGTCAAGTTCTGTAAATTCTACTCTTACAAATTCATGCATGCTCTTTTCTCCACCCTTAAACCATTACTTAAATGAATGACTATAACAATTTTCACTGTTTCTAGTCTTGCCCCTTTTTACAATGCCATCAGTTATATTCCTTTCTTCATATTTATATAAATGTTGTTATAGACACAGCAAAATTAAAGATAGCAGGAGAAAATTTTGTTTCTTTTTCATCCTAGTACCTGAGCAGCAGTTTATTACTTATCTACCAGATATTATTTATACATATTCAACTATATCTCTGTGTATGTACAAATACAGAAATGTTTTCATTTTGTTCATTTAAAAAATTTTACTTATTCTAATTTGTGATATATGATAGCAGAATGCAATTCAATTCATATTACACATATAGAACACAATTTTTCATGTCCCTGGTTGTACACAAAGTAGAATCATACCATTCATGTCTTCATATATGTACTTAGGGTAATGATGCCCATCTCATTCCACCATCTGTCCTACTCGCATGCACCCTCACCTCCCTTTGCCCTATCTAAAGCTTGTTCATTTTTAATAGGTAGAACTACCTTGAACCCCAAAAAATAACCCAGAGATCATTCTGTATCAGTACAAAGCTACTTTCTTATTTTTAAAGGCTAGATGGTGACTCACCAGATAAACATAATTATTTTACTGGTAACCTATTAATGGCTATTGAATAATTTCCAACCTTACCATATGCAAAGGCAAAATGACATCCTTACACATACATTTCTATACATATCCATATACACTTATGTAAATAAAGTTTCTAGAAATTAAATTATTAAGACAAAGAACATGAACACTTTAAATTTTGATGGATACTGCCAAAAACCCAAGTTTGCTCAAAATACTTTGGTTACTAATAAAAAATCTTCAATGATATTCCTACAGATTTTAAGATCAAGTAAATCATCTTGGGCCTTTTATGATCTGGATCCTATCTACTTCCATATGCACTTTTTCATCTTACTCTGATCTCTGTTCCAAACTCATGTTGTATTGCATTAAATTCATTCCCAAATATTATAACCTCTCCTTGGCACATCTACTTATAAAATCTTTTCTCTATCCTCTGCATTCAGAAATAGACTTATTGACAATAAGTTCACAACTCTGAGACCCTTTCTCCAAAGTTTTTCTAAGCCATCTCCCCTGTATTTAATCCCACTTCTGATAAGGCACCTCTCTTTTATGTTCTGATATCATTTTATATCTCCAATACATCTATTTGTATCTAATAGATGTATTAGAGGCACTGTTGGTTGGTTGTACTGAGGATTGAACCAGAGATGTTCTATCTCAGTCCTTTTTTTTTTTTTTTAATTTAACCTTTATTTATTTGTTTTTATGTGGTGCTGAGGATGGAACCCAGGGCCTCACCCATGCTAGGCAAGCACTTTATCACTGCGCTATCACCCCAGCCTTTATTTTTAGGCAAAATCTTAGTAAGTTGCTGAGGCTGGCCTCAAACTTGTGATCCTCCTGCCTGAGTCTCCCAAGTAGCTAGGATTACAGGTACATGCCACCATGTTTGGCTTTAATATTGCATCTTACTGTGTCACAATCTTCTGTTTGTGTTTTTGTCTTCATGACTAAATTATAATTCTCTTGATGGCAGAGACCTTAACTTATCTGCTGCTAAGCAGTATTTCTGCTGAATTAACTGAAATTTTGAAGACTCGAAAAGACAACATTACTAAGCTATATCAGTTTTACTCTAATAAGAGTTACTTTCATTAACATATTAAAAATTATTCTTACATTAATGATTACCAAATACAAATAACTCTTATATACAGTTTTAATAGTATCCATACACTAATTCTCACCTGAGTTTTGTTGAAGCTGTACATAATGTTGATGATTGTAAATGGTGTGAGATGATAATGCCGAGCATGGTAATTAACCTGTAAAAAAGATACTACTATTTTTTCTGTTATCATGTTGTGAAGAAATAACAAGGCCATGAAAAATACAGAGTTGCAGCATAAACATAAGTTAAATTCTAAGTTACCATAAATTACACAAAAGCAAAATGACTTTTGAACAAACTTTAACCTACAATAAGAACAATATCTATGGTTATATAAATATAATATAAAGATAAATGCATAATATACATAGTAAGGTGGACTATATAATGGGGTTCTTGTTTGGCACTTGTTTCCTTACTCACTAGAACTATATACAAGCATTTTTCAAACTACAGAATTGAATTTGATGGATAAACTATGAAATCAGATAAAGGGGTCAAAACAACATATACTGGGATCACAATGTAATACTATCATAATGTAAAATACATATGTCAGAAACATACTGTCCTAGGGTTCATACTGTCAGTGCTACTTAAATAGTTATTTCTTTATACACACTTTTCAGCGCTAAGCATAAACATTAATTTTGTAATGATTTATATTGTTTTGAATTATACTAGCAAACAAATATGGGGATAACTATTGTAGTAAGTTATATGGTACCAGCATCTGCCATGGTGTAGCCACTGGTCCTTGAGGGCTCCATTACCCTATCAGAGGATCAACTAGTTCAAAAATTTAATGATTTGCCTTTTCCACTGCATTAATATTTTATTTTCATTAATGGTGCAAAACCTTTGGTGGATAAAACTGCAAGCTCTTGAGCATGAATCAAGGAAGAAGCATCAAATTATATTTTTGTACTTGTTGGATTCTTCACCCCATATACTCAAAAGTAAGCAAAAAGCAATCTAGACTTAAGAATAATCTAGATGAAACATTAAAAAAATAAGATTAATCTTATGAAATCTTCACTCTTGAGTATACATCTTTCCAATTAATACACTATATTATAAAACAAGTAAGATAGTTGTCATGAGGGAAAGCACTTATCTGATAGAACTGCAAGCTGACTTAGCCACTTTTTTTCATGGAAAAGTATTCTTACTTGAAAACCTCACTGACAGACTATAGTTATTCATACTTGGCACAAATATGTTCTTAAGAATGAATAAAATAAGCTCATTGATTTAAAAAGTCCAAATGACAGTATTTGTTGTCAATAAATTTAGGTTTTCAAGTGCAAATCAGATTTTTAGGAAACCTGTATCTATAAACAAAACCATATAGTAAGTGAAGATTTTCTGATAAGTAGTACTTTTAAAGATGACTTTTTCTTTTGTATAATCAAAGGTTCTAATATTTACAAGGCATATAAAAACTGATTCAATATTTTTCAAATAAACAATGTTTGATGATATGAAATCATGCATAGTAAAAATAACCAATCAAGATGCAGTATATATAGTGGATTTTTTTTTAATGTAGCAAAGTATATAAAGTTTATGTGGTTTCAGATTTCACAATGCAAAAACCTTTAAGAAACTACCACTTGATGAGTTTTGATTTAATTTCAAAGAACGTCCAGGATTATCTGTACAGGATATAAAATACCACTCTGTTTTTAATGATATGTGTGCACAATATTGGACCTTCTTATTACTTTTAAAACAGACCATTGCAACTGATTGACTGTGGAACAAGATGAAAATCACCTAACTCCTATTATGCCTGACATTAAAGACATTTTCAGAAACATAATTACTTTTTATAAATACAGCATTTATGATACTATTTATTAAATTTATTTTTTGATGAATTAAGAACAGTAAAATTTTCCCAGATTTAATTTCTGAAATGGTAAATACTGACAAATACAACCCACATAAACCAAAGTTCTTTAGGATTCTTAATAATTTTTTAAGATCTAAAAAAAGAGGTTTTGAGAAAAATATTTTGAGAACTGCTATTTTACAAATTTTGGAACATTTTACACAGAATAATAATTACATGATTTCATGTCATTTATCTGAATTCTGCACTTTGTATCAGGATTAAAAATGTCTCAGTAGTAGATCATGGAAATCACATTTACCTGACATTGGCGGCGTAGAACAATGCAAGGATGGGCCAGTACATTTTCTGTAAAGAGACTACATAAAAGTAATTTATGCATATGTGTATACATATTTTTAGACATGTATACACATATGTGAAATTATTCTTGCCTTCAGGATCATACATTATTCATGTTCTTGATTCTTAAAATTAAAGCATTTTAGAAATATTTAGATATATTTGCAAATGATTCTATCAATAACAAAATTCAATATAATGAATGAAAACCAGATCTGCAAAGTGCTAAATAAGGGATACAGTACATAATATTAATATCTTTAGTATGAAGATGAAAATAGATCTCTGTATGTTTGACATGGAAAATGCCATACTGTTTAATTTCAATTTCTTTCAGAAAATATCTTATGAACAGTTCTTTCGGCAGAGCCATCTGTTCTTCATGAATCTCATTCTAAGATTTTGATTTTAACGTACTCGGCATTTAATTTATAATATTTTAATGACCATTTTAATTGGTATTTTATGTATCAAATATTTCTTCTGAAAATATTCCCTGCAAAATAATTAAGTGGGCTTAAGCTTTGACATATACATACATGCACACAAACATAATTTCATGTGGAATTAACACTATTTATATGTACTAAACTTTAAGTAGAAAGAATAAGGCTGGAAAAGAATGAAAAACACAGATTTTACTTATACTGACATTAATAGCCTTAGGTTCAATTATTCAATAAGGTATTTTTTCTTGGTTAAAATGTTTTTAATAATGAAAGTCATTCTGGCAAGAAATGTAAGCCTAATGCAAATCCAGTATTTATGAAACTGGTATTCACTAAAAATCACAATGATTGAGACTGATAATTTTCTTAAATAAAATGATTAGAAATAAAATGTAAAGCTGATCCCCAAATGGTGATTGTAGATAAAACCTAGGTTCTATGACACTAAATACCTTGGTAGCATTCAAATGTTTAGAGAAAAAGTTCAATGCACAAATATTTTTTTTTGATAGGGTGGGAGTTAAGTTTACATTTGATTCTATTATTTTTATAGATCCATGAAAATTGTTAAAATATTCATTAGAAAATTATTTTGTAGTTAGAAACTGAACGAATAGCTTCTATACTTACTGGGAAAAAACCAAGTTATAGATTTTAAATAAAATTTTTTTCTGCAAAATATTACTGAAGATTTAATCTGCTGCTCTAAAGAGAAACTATAAAGGAGAAATACTAATCACTTAATATTATAAACTAAAAACTTATAAAATATTACCTTGCAAGTCCAATACCAAATCCAGCGAATCTATTCAACTGTTCTAAAATAAAAAGAATAAGATTACTCATAACCAATATTGAGATTTACTATAAAAACAAATATATTTTCCTGTATTAACATGTTATTCATTTATTCAAACTCAAACTCTGATAGGAGTCAGGGAGGTAAATTGAGTAAGTGAAGAACTGCTAGAGCTTGTGGCAAGTTGCAAGGCGTGACCTCTTAAAGGTACAATTATTTTTTAGCTCCACATGATGTTGCCACATGCAACTGAGAGTCTAGAGTTTCTGAGTTGTGATTTTTTTTCAAAAAGACAGTTTCAATTTTAGAAAAAATCTTCCAAATCGTAAGTATTTACCCTGGCAACTATTTGAAAAAGTTTAAAACATTGTTTGGGACAAGTCAAACTGTATGCAGATAGAACCTATGGACTACCAGTTTTAACTTCTGACTTCAATCAATTAAAATATCATTCTATGGATGGTCCTCATACACAAACTACTTGACTTCTCAAGATGTAAAAACTAGTTATTCGCTGTTACTACTGATCTAGAGTACTTTGTTAGACCATTTCTTTTCAAGCAAAGCATCTCAAAATTATCAATTTGAAAGAGTACTTTGGTCACCAAAATGGATAAATACAGCTATCTTCTCCTGTAACCTAAAATTTTAGTTTGAGAGTAGCTGTTTAATTCATTCTCTGTGATAGGTTAGTAACTGTACATATGTGCTATTTCTAATGGCATTTCTGTAATGTTACTCCAGAAGTTCACAGCTGGAAACATTACTATGTATATGTCAAAAAAGAAAAGTTTTTCTTTTACCTAAAGAACACAAAATTTATAAAGGTAAACTATCACAAACCCAGAGGACCTGACATTTAATATCAGCTATAATACAATATTTAAAAACAGTAATTATCCCCTCCCAGACTCTGCTCTTTCAAATGAAGCAACGCTGACCCTATTCCCTTAAGTGAAAAGGACAAACAACCCCATTCTTGGGGAAAATGCATCACCTTGAAAGTTAGTCAAATACACTTCTTTTGCCATGTTAAGGATGTTTTCCTCATTTCAGCTTCTACCCTTTTAAGGTACATAACGCATCCTCTATATTTCCTTTAAGAGAAAATGCCACTCACATTTTCTGGAAGGGGTTAGGAAGGTATAAACCTGCTGTTAACTGCGTAAGTTTTTCAGGTGGCTATCCTTCTCATAAAAATTACACTTACCTTCCAGTAACAGCTGCAAAATAAACCCCTGCTTTTGATAACAAGCTTCTCCTCATTTTAGCCATCAAGACATAACTTAGGAAAAGATAAAACAAACTTTACTACCCAAAAAGATAACTGTAACAATTATATATAGATTTTGAATCACTTAATTCATAACTTACAAAAGCTTTGCAGTATTTTTGTGGAACCAGCAGGACACATTGGATAGAAAATTAGGTAGGAGTCAAAAAGTAAATTTTATATCACTGATCTTTCATCACATCTTCAGTAGCTTATTAAACAATCATTCAAGTTTTTTTCCAGTTAAAACAAATAAAATAGTCAAGGAAATTAGTATAAGGCTAATGTGCAGAATATTTTTAATATGTGAGAATATAATTAATCTATTACCCTAATAATTCCAGGTGAATGGAATGAAATATATTTACCATTTTATGAATAAAATGGGTGTTGAAAATATCTGGATCATGCAGTGTTGCAGTCAAAAATACCTCTCACTTTACTTCCTGCAAAGTATAAATGTCTTTTGACTCCAAAGTTTTATCATGTAATTGTATCAATGTTTCTAACTCTTAAGTGGAGTTTTTACACCAAGAAAGCAGGAAAAAGGAAAATTACAGGTAGGAAAATTTCTAGATTAGAGATCTGAAAAACAAATAGATCTCCCATGATGAAAAGGGTAAAGGAAGAAAATGGATACTGCATTAACTACTATGTGTTCCATATCCTGCTAGACCTTATGCAAGTCATCTCAAAACTTTAAAACACCTTATCAGGTATTCTACAAGTCTTAGAGATGAGAAAAACTAAGTCTTCCAGTTATTAAAAAAGAAGTCCAGTTTATGAGTGGCAGAGCTAGCCTTAACCCTAATTTGACAATTGTGAAAAGCTTCTGTTTCTGGAACACAAAGCTACAATTAAAGCCATTAATTAAATCAAGAAAAAAATATAATAAAAGCTGCCAAAGTGAATTAAGTAACAACAAATAACCAAATTCCTTTCTTCCTTGATTCAGATCATTGGCACAACCCCTAAAATCTCCTACTATGCACCCTATAGCTAAGGCAGATGTCTTTTTTGGAGGTGATCCCGGAGAAAACGAATGCGTTAAGAGGGAGGAGGCTCACTTCATGAACAGAGGACGAAAAGAGGGCAGAGGGTGTGGGGCGCGATAGGCCAAGAAGGCGCCGGGGCGGGAGCCTCTGCACAGTTTCCGGGGTCTGCGGGCTTCTTGCACAGCTCAGCCAACCCATCCACCCGCCCGGGCCTCCGGCGCGACGCCCCTCACCAGTGCTTTGCCCCTGCACGCTGGTACTGCAGCCGCCGGGAAAGGGTTCCTCCGCGGGGCCCTCGTGCGGGGTGGAGGCGGAGGGCACGCCGTAGGGCGGGCTTTTCTCTCCCCAGTGCAGGTTGCGGCTGCCGGGGATGTCTGGGGGAGTAGTCACCCAGTGGCCTAGGTCCGACCCGGAGGTGAAGGACCTGGCAGGGAAAGCGCCACCAAATCCCTGCTCGTCCCGGCCACCACCCCGGTAGCCCAGGCCATCGAATCCGTCCGGGCGCCGCGGATGCATCGCAGCAGGGGCTGAGCGAGCCCACCCGGAGCCCACCACCACCACCGGGGCAAAGGCGACTTAGGGCCGCACAATTCCCCTTCCCCGGCAGCCGCTGCGTCTGGGGGAATTCTGACAACCGGAAGTCACGACGGGAACACGGAAGTTCCTGGAGCACGTGATCATAGCTCTTCCTGCCATCTTTATAGCACGGTTGCTAGGGAAACACGGAAGCAACCTCCAGCCGATCCTCAAAATTGTCTTCTATTGCGAGGAGGTTGCAAGTGGAGTTAAAGACCGTATCAAAAAGATGCGGCCTGGATGGGAGGAAGTCAAAGATGTTTCTTCAAGACGGAAGACTGCGCTCGCCTTAGAGCTAAGCCGCTTAGCTGTTGGCCAGAAATGTCTCGCAAGCACCTATCCCCGGGATTTTTTTCTCACACTTCTGGTACCTCGCCAGTCCCCAGGGGGCTGGTATAAGTTAAAGCTGTTAGTACGTTCCTACTAGCTTTGTCTACCGCTTTTTTGGCTTTGGGGAAAAAATCAGTTGAAAGATTTGGGTTCCCCCAGTGAAACAATATCGCTTTGGACCACCCTCCCCCTCACACACTACAACAAACCGCCCTCCGGTATTTAGGAATTAATTATTTTACTTTCTAAGGCTGCAGAGCGACTGTAAACAGTTTTCCTGTTTATTTTACTTGTGCATCTAAATCACCCAGGGTATTTAAATCCCATCTATTATCATTCAAAATCGGGACCACCCCTAGCTGAACGAGGAAGACTTGTGTGGAGTCCCCTACTACCTGTTTTCATGAGCTCCATAGGCTCTTGGGGCAGAGTGTTTCTCCCTAGATCTGACCGAGTCTTGCATGGATTCTTCCTGTGTCTCTTCTTTCCCACCGGACACTTAGAATCCCGAGGGCTTTCAGAAGAGAACCCTGACGTACTGTTCTCAATCTTTATTAAAGTGATAATCAACTTCGTTTTGAGTGAATTGTTGTGGTGGCCAGGTTGGGTTGATTCTCTTAATTGTATCCAGTATTACTCCAGTACTAACACCAAATAACTGGACAACGAATACCACATTAGTTACTAGACATGACTATAAAAAGTATTTCTCTGCTCCTTAGGGATGATTGGCTCAAGGATGGGATTGTCTCGGGTCCTAAATTTACTGTTTTGTTAAAGGAAAAGCAGAAGTATGGAAGCTCTGCGTATGTGCATGTGTGTTTGTATTTTAATATGAAAAGATGCCGTCTCACAATTTCACATCCCCATCAGCATTAGTAGAGAAAGGATGAAGTATTAAAAGAAGAACTTCTGAGAAGCCAGTTAAGGAAGAAAATTTTAAAAATCAGTAAAAGTTCCCACTCCCAAATTCCATTCTGTAATGGTGTATTTTTTCTTTGTTTTTTAAAAAATTAAATACTGAAAGAAAATATTAGGTGAATATTTCTAGAGTGGACTGGAAACTTTGTAAGACTAACAGCAAAGTTAAAAACCATTTAAGGAATCAGAGGAAGAGTATAATTAATTTGTATAAAATTTAAATGTCTGTTCAGCAAATGAAAAAAGGAAAACAGTTATCCAAATGGAAAGGCAAATAATGGTTTAGACAATAGGTCCTTATTTTTAGTGTAGAGTATTTACCAGTGAATAAAGTAAATCAGTAGAAATCAGGCAAAGAATATGAACAGAGAGATTTTTAAAGAATAATAATTGCAAGTGGATAATATTCATATGAAAATTAATAAAATGCCATTTGTTAATTTAAAAAGAAATTTAAATAGCAATATCTTTCACCCATTTCAATGGGTAATCTTTAAAAGGGGAAGTGTGCATTATTGGGTACCAGTTAAGTAGAAAGTGTCTAGTTGGTTTGAGGAGAAATATAAATGCAACAAGTTATTGATGGAGAGGAGTTTGGCAAATCATATCAAATATAAAACAAAAAGTAATTTTATCTTTTGACTCTTAAATCTTAGGAACAAATAATCTTGTTTATAATATGTATAATACAAAATTTGTGGTGTATTTGCTCAAAATAGAAAAAATTATAGCAATCTAAATAGACAGTAATTATTAATATATTATTAAATGATATATCCATATGCCCTTTTAATTAAGATATGTTTATTGAGTACCTGTCTTGCACCAGGTATTATTTTAAGCAAGAGTGATAAAGTGGTAAATAAGCCAAAGTCCCTGCATTGTTAGAAGTAACAGTTCAGAGAGACAAATACCAGGTTAGAAATATATTGTGTTAAATGATGAAGCAAATATATATAAAACAGTGTCAGATAATAAATATTATATTTTTGAAAACTGGGTAGTAACAAAGGTCATTTTTTGAGAGTGGCATTTCTAGAATGAGAAATAACCTTTTTTTTTTTTTTTTGGTACCAGGGATTAAACACAGAGGGGATTTTAACCACTGAGCAACATCCCTAGCCCCCCCCCAACCCTTTTTAAATTTTTATTTTGAGATAGGGTCTTACTAAATTGCCTGAGGCTAGCTTTGAAATTGTGATTCTCCTGCCTCAGCCTCCCCAGTGGATGAGATTACAGGCATGAGCCATTATCTGCGTAAAGTGAAAAAAGGACAAAGAACATGTGTAAATGAATATCTGGGAGAAATATTTTCCAGTAGCGCTAAGCATATGACCCTGAGAACAGGCTACATAGCCAGTGAAACCTATAGGAAATGAGAGCCAAGACGAAGCTAGAAGCCAGATCTCACAGGGCAAGATGGATAGCGAAGGACTACATTTTAGGTTTTTCTTAGAGTAAGAAGTGATATGACTTTATTGATATATTAGAAGGATCAACCTGGTTTCTGTATGGGGCAAGGGTGAAATCCTCTGTATTTAGTAGGCTACTGTAAGCTGCTAAGGCTAAAGATAGTATTAACTTGATCTAGAATGGTTAAGGCAATGTGAGCTTGGAATCATGGTGTTTTTTTAAAGACTGCATTAGGGATGAATGTTCAGTGACATGAAAAAGTTTGTGTTAAAATGAAAATATTTGTAGTATGATCTCACATTTTAATAACATTTATAAAGTTACACCCAATAGAATTATATGTACAAAATGACAAGATTATATTGTATCTGAGTGTGGGTTAACATGGTTTTATCTTTTTGCTTGCATTTTCTAATTGCTCAAAAAAAAAAACCTTAGAGTTTTTCCTAAGAATAATAATTATTTTAGTAAAAAAGAAATTAATAGAGCAGATTCGATTATAATCAGAGCAATAAAGATTACTTTATTGAATTACTAACTCTGTACCTTTTAATCAGCAACCTCTAGAACACTATCAAAGTTCTGTCATCCTCTATTTCTTCAAAATATTTTTAAACAATAATGCTGAAATAATAATTATCCAAGGTTTATAGCTTCAAACTCATTTGAGAGACTCATAATACAGGAATTAAAATGTGCATTTTAAAAATGGTCACATTATTTGAGAATAACAGTGTAATTATTTGTATTGGCTGTCTGTTGCAGCATAACAAATAACTCACATAACAAATTGAGCAGCCAAAAGCATTTGTTATCTCATAGTTTGTCTAAATTAAGAATTTGAGAGTGACTTAGCTGGGTGGTTCTGACTCAGATCTTTTATGAGGTTGCAGTTAAGACTAACTCTGGGTAGAGTTACTAATCTTAGCTGGTTTTGATTGGGGCTGGAGGATCCCTTTCTAAGACACCTCACTCAAACAGTTGTGGAAAGAATACCTCCATTTCTAGCTGATTGTTAGGAGGTTTCAATTTTTTATCACATGAAGCTCTTTGCAGAGCATCCTGAAAGTTCTTGAGGGGCTTCTTCCAGAATAAGTGATTCCCAGAAAGAACAAGAGAGAAGCACCATATCCTCTGTATTATTCTATTCCTTGGAAGAGTCACTAAATTTAAACCTATAGTAAGGGGACAAGGATATGGCTCCGTCTTTTGAAGGGAATATTACCAAACCATTTGTGTTCATATTCTAAAAGCACCACGATATTAAACCATTATGTAAAATCAATGAATAGAGGATATTTGTAGGCATCAAAATTTATAGTTAGGAAAAAAATCTACTTAACTATTAACAGAATAATATAGATGAAGTTTTTTACTTTTCTCTTTAGTAAATAAATTTCATGAATTAATTTTCTTTGAAAATAGTCATGATAGCATGCTATAGTTTAGATTTGATTTGAGTGTGTTCCTCAAAGGTTCATGTGCTAGAAGGTTATTCCTCAAATTAGCGGTGATGAGAAGCGAGAAGCATAGTTGAAAGTGCTTAGATCATTGAAGATGATACCATCTGAAAAAACCCAGTTAAATCCTGTAAGTGATTTGTTATTCAGAGGCCACTGGATCCCTGGCCTCTGAATTCCTCTTGCTTCTTGGTTCTCCATGTGATCTCCCCTCTCATGTGCATTCCTACCCTGATGCCCTTTGTATTGGTGTGGTGTAGTCAAGGGGGACCTTATCAAAGGCCAAACAGATGGGGCTGCCTAATCATTGACTTTCAGTCTCCAAAATTCTTTATAAAGTACCCAGACTCAGATATATTCTTTATAAAGTTCCTATCCTCAGATATTTTATTATAGCCACAAAAACAAAGGCAAATAGAAATCCTATAATCCTAAAATAGCTAATAAATATTTTAGAAAGTCTATTCATCATTCAAATTAGCCAAGTCCAGTCAGACTCAAGTTAAAATACAAATAAAGAATAGCAGATTATTTTATCAATTTCAAGAGTTAGCACACAGTGTCATGGTCCTGACAAACAAAAGTCCAGAAAAATAGGGCACTCATCTACATTAACATTTTACCAAATTCTGACACTGAATGAATTCAACTCACTGGACAAAGTAAAAATCACCTACATTTTTACTCAGGAGTTCACATAGCAACGTTCATTAGGCAGCTACTATTTATGCACTAGTCATAGTTTTAGGTATTGTGATACCACAGTACATTATTTTTTAAAGATGGAATTTAATAATACTCAAATTACTTTATTTCTAAAATAAGTTAAAATTGGATAATTAGAAAATATTTTTAAATAATATAGCTGGTGTGTGTGTGTGTGTGTGTGTGTGTGTGTAAATAATATGATGTAACAATCCATTATAGTAAATTTGACTCTGATTACAC